TGGAAATTGTGACAGATGTGGACAAGTAGAAACCATACAACACATACAATATAAAATGCAGTGCATGTACGAAAAAGCAAGATTTCAACTAATTCAAGCTTTAAGATCTTTGGGAATACATAATTTCTCACTCCAGGTTCTGTTAAGAGAAGGCCCGAAGCAATAAAGAATATATCATGAATTTATTTATTACAAGTCGGATAAGAAGGTCACCGGTTCGAGCCCCGGCAAGGACAGTAGGCCTTTCTGTGTGGAGTTTGCATGTTCGCCCTGTGTCTGCGTGGGTTCACACCGGGTGCTCCAGTTTCCTCCCACTGCCCAAAGACATGCAGGTTAGGTTAATTGAACATTCTAAATTGTCCCCGGATGTGCATAAAGATAAGACTTGTGTATGGATCGATCTGTGTATGGATTAACTGGTTCTCGCCATGAATATAGCCATAGATGCTGGAATGGCGTTAAGAAGGAAATAAACAAACAAACATTACAAGACAGATCAATAGAATTTAGGATACCATTTCGTTTTTTTTTATATCCCGTATTGTTTCCCAACTTCCCAATATCCACTCCACACTCCTGCCCAGTGCACCATACTGGCCTGCCAACCTCCATTAAACGCCAGAAGAAGAAGCAGAAGGGACCTTCTCCGAACTGCTGTTGCAAAACAAAATATTTGCAAAGTTTTTGAAGCATCACAAATCTTCTTTTTTTATTTAAAGCAATCACTAATTACAAGTTCAAGTCATGCATTCAGACCACCAGGAAGAACATAAATCGGTAAAGGAAGAGTTTATTGAAGATTACACTGAGAACAGAAGTGATCCAGAACCACTCCGAGTGAAGCATGAAGATACTGAAGAAACAGAGGTTGGTGTTTATTCTTGATTCCTCATAAACAATGCTGTGAAACATTAAGGTTATAAAACTTCAGCAGTTCATCAGATTTTCATGGCTGTAATCAGTCAATAATGTAGCCTGTCCACTCCAATCGTCATACATGTAAAGATATCTTCATATGGAAATTGACTGAAGCAAAGTTAAAGATGCTCACTGATATTAAAACTACTTTAGTATCAAAAGTACAGGTACATTTTATAGATAATGGCAGTCAATTGTATCAATGACAACCTGGAGTCTGTTATAACATGTAGTAGTTAAAGGGATTGTTCACAAAAAAATGAAGTTCTGAAATCATTTACTCACTCTCATGTCATTCCGAATCTGTGCTTCTGCAGAACACTAAAGAATATATATTTTTCAACACTGGACCTTTGTGACTTTCACTGCAGATGTAAAATAATAATAATAAATGCATGCTTTGAACAACATGTATTAATGTCATTGTATTAATAATGACAGGATTTTTCTGGTGATAAGCTTTGAATGATTCAATGAGAGAATGTCATACTACAAACACAATCCAACAAAATAACAAAGCAAACTAGAGAGCAGAAATCATTTGGTTTGGAGGTGGGCTCTTTTGACTTGAGTTTTACTCAATCACCCAGAACACCCTAGCAAATGCATAACAGAGCATTGTTTTACTTTACTGTTCATTTTTATATTTAGTTTGCTTTGTTATTGCATATATTTACTCGTATATTTAGCACTTGTTTCCTCCGCTCAGTGTCCAGTCTTGATTTAACTTGAGTGTGTAAAGGAATCAGATCAATTTAGCTCAAAGTGGGAAAACCTGGATTCCCGCTTTAAGGTAAACTGACCTGATTCTTGGTCCTGGAGGGCCGGTGTCCTGCATAGTTTAGCTCCAACTTCCCTCAACGCACCTGCCTGGAAGTTTCTAGTATGCTTAGTAAGAGCTTGATTAGCTGGTCCAGGTGTGTCTAATTGGGGTTGGAACTAAACTCTGCAGGACACCGGCCCTCCAGGACCGATTTTGGGCACCCCTGCCTTACACATTCAAGTTAAATCAAGACTGGACACTGAACGGAGGAAACAAGTGCTAAATATACAAGAGATAATGATAACTAAATGAGAAACAGAACCTAATAAGTAACCAAGAGAACAGATAAAACATGCTAGAAACCAGGGCAACCAAGAAAATTATTGTATAGTTTTTTAATACATTACATTGGATACTTGTATAGTTGATGAAGCATTTAATATTTCTCATTACAAAAACATGGAATTTTTGTGATTATAATGTTTTAAAAGTAACAATTGTAAGATCAATGCACCTAATTCATGGAAAGTGCCTGTGACATAATTAAATTGTTTTTAAAAAATAATCAAAATTTGCATAGCAATTGTAGCAAATGTCCTTTGCCTTCATATTTCTGTCTTTGACCTTTTTCCTTTCATTTTAGACCTGTTGGAAGAGAATGTGGAGAGTGAAGAACTGAATGAAGTGGAGGAGAAACATCATGATGTCACAACTGAAGACAAATCGGAGTCTCTCACAAAATAAAAGTACATTTTTATTGAGAAGAAGAACCAACAAAAATTTCACTTGCCCTTAGTGTGGAAAAAATATTCCCATACAAAGTCTTGAAAATCACATGAGAATTCACACTGAAGAGAAGCCACACACAGAATCCCTGGAGGACAAGCTGAGCGTTCATTCAAAGGAGAACATGTGTTCTTTGTGTGGGAAGAGTTTTTGCTGGCTGGGTGATTTAAAATTACACCAGAAAAGACACAGTGGTGTGAAGAATCTTGTGTGCTTTGAGTGTAAGAAGACCTTTATTACAGACGCTGAACTGAAACAGCACCAGAAAATTCACATTGTTAAAAATTCTTAAACTGGTGAATGAATCGTGTGTGTTCACACTGTGACGAGATTAAATGAGTCAGGGTAATTTTTTTGCCTACTGAATCTGCTTGTACTAACAATAATTGCATGATTTTTGTTATATCTGAGCAATGATTATATCTGTATCATAATTGCTTTTAGGATTTTTCATGTTTAAAATCCTTTTATGCCTAATCAATTCTATTCTATCCCAAACATTACACATTATTAACTGTCCCTCAAAAAGGGAATTACAGAATACTTTGAAACTTACTGATACATTGAAAGCTAAGTTAGGTGACAATTGAACATGCAAAACTGTTAAGTGATGGAGGTCTGTTAGTATTTTGCAGAGATAGCAATCAATGTGGCATGGCTTTACGATTCAAATTGATGATAGGGAAAAAAGGTTTCAGTGGTGTGTTAAGAAGAGTAATTTTATATTCCATATCTCGGATAGTGCATCTACATCAGAGATGTCTTCATTTACATCTGCAAGATGTATTTTTAAGAGCGTTTGCTCATGTACATGACATCTCTAAGACATTTCCCATGATGTCAAATAGATGTTTAGAAAATGACTAAGATGTTTGATTTAGAATGTATGTGAAAATGGACACCTTAAAGATGTTTATCAGATGTTTGATTAGATGTTCCAGATCAGGTAATCTTTAAAAGACGTCTTGCAGATGTCCAGATGTGTGGTCTGGTTGCTGATAGGATTGTTGAGCACACAGCTGTAGGTGTTGTTATCCTGATATTCCACCTCCAGAGGTAGAGAGAGACTGATGCTGAGATCAGACACACTGATGCTGGACAATAAACTGTTTCCTTTGTACCAGGAGAGAGTCACATGACTCACATTCAACACTGAACACAGGAAGATACTCGATGATTTTCCAGCCGATAAAGCACATTGTGAAGTATCACTACAGGAATGGGCACATGAGCTGCAAACGCAATAAAGAGAAAACATAAAACTAGAAAAAAAATTATGTTATTTACAAAACCTAGATTCATCTCACCATAAACAGTGACAGCAAATCACTTGGTTGACTTCTTATTCCTGATAATGATGCTCAGTTGATAAAAGCCATTGTGTTCATTAGTGATGTTTGTGACGGTGAGATCTCCCCAACCCTGCAGAGACGTCAAATATTTATTACTCACCAATCAGAGGAATAAAACATAAAATGTACAAAACGAGCGCGTGAATCATTTTCTTCAACAGTTTGAGATAGATCACAATGCCTTTAATAACAGATTTCATGAAACACGTCTCGTTTTGAATATGGGTCCATTATGTATAGATCATTTGCGGTTTTTAGAGCCAAGAAGTCCTCAGCCAATCAGAAAAACTCTTTCAGTCTGCGCGCCTCCACCGCGAGATGAAGAGATGTAGGCTACATGTGTTTTCTGTTGTAATGACCTTTTAAATCTCTTGTCACAGTGTGAACACTTGTAAGGTTTTTCTCCAGTGTTAACTCTCTGGTGCTGTTTCAATATGGTAGCCATAGCAAAAGTCTTCCCACAATAAAAACAAATATGATCATGTGTTTTCTGGTGTAATTTAAAATGATGTAATTTAAGAGCTCCTGCTTGTCTAAAACTCTTTCCACACTGATCATATGGGTACGGTTTCTCTCCAGTATGAATTATCATGTGATACTTAACACCTTGTTTGGATGAGAAACTCTTTTCACACTGAAATATTTTTTGGCTCTTGTTTGCAGCGAGCAACTCAAAGATTTATCTTTAGTTTTGACATGATGTTTCTCCTCTGCTTCATTCAGTTCTTCCCTCTTCTCATTCTCTTCCATCAGGTCTGAAATTAAAGTTAATTAAAAAATAATTTAAAGTAAATCATTCAAAAAATAAAATACAGCAAAAGCAGTAATATTAAAATGTTCTTACTAAAAATAACTGCTTTCGATTTATATATATAAAAAAAAAAAATATATATATTATTTCTGTGATCAAAGCTAAATTCTCAGCATCATTACTCCAGTGTCACAGGATCCTTCATAAATCATTCTGATATGCAGATTTGCGGTTCAAGAAACACTACCACCAATTTAAAACAGAAATTACAGAATTATTTAATTCAATTTAGCAAGGAGGCTTTAAATCGATTGAAAGTGATGATAAAGACCTTCATAATGTTACAAAAAGACTTCCATTTCAGAAATGCTTTTCTTCTGAACTTTCTATTCATCAAAGAAACCTGAAATTCTACTCTGCTGTTTTCAATTTTGGAAAGTCACGGTCATGAGAACACCTCTCAACACACCCCCCTAAAAGTGCTACTTCAGGATTTTTTGGACACACTCCTGGCTTTTCTGGTTCTGCGGACAAAAAAATAAATAAATTCCCATACACGGAAAGCAAGCTGACCAGGGCTGGATTGGTAATCGGGCATTTTCCCAGTGGGCCAACAAGGTTATTTTTTTTTGCCAAGGACCATCGCACAGGGACAGCGAGCAGCCCATTGAATTGTCTCCTGTATTGGCAGCGTAAACAACCCAATCACAATGCACTATAGACGGAGCGATAAAGTACTTCGCTCCGCCAATATAAAAATCGCTTCACTCCAACTGGTTCCTCGTCGGCTTCTCCCATGTTTTCACAGCAGATTTATCAAGAACAGGCTTTCTCTGCGGTGAGTAAGAGCAAAGAGCCAGGCAGGAGGAGGAGTACAGAGTAGTTGAATCGGTAAAGTGCTTGATAGGGACTCACAAC